CCAGGGTTAGCAGAATTGCTTTGGTAATACCTACAGAGGAAACGAGAGAGCAGATCAGCACCGGGCTATCTGTAGATCACGTCAAATGGGAAAAGTCTCTGTATGTCTGGACTCCACAGCATTCTCTCTGTTCACCAACCAGCTTCTGACAAGGGAAGAGGAAAGTTTTTGGTGAGTATCTTTAAAACAAGACCTCTTCAAGTAGGATACAATTGAAGCTTTCTGGTGCAAACCTTAGCTGATCTCCCTTACAATGGAAAAGTCCTAATACTGTTACTTTCTGTAAGTGTTGCAGGGTCTTAAAATTTACAATTATTTTAATATTTTTGATAACTAGGAATCTAGCTTTGCCATAAAGGAAACTAAGTGCCCATTAAAAAATTTGTCTGGTATAAATAAATGCCCTTTTGGTTTTGCTTTAAATGACAGTGAGCTACACATCGCGACGCTAGTCTTCAAAAATGCTTTCCAATAATGAACCGTGTGGTAGTTGATCGTGGATCGTGTGGTCTGTCTGTGGAGAGTGTATGGCTGCTGCTCATTGATACCCTAGAAGAGATTAACAATCAGCTATGCTGTTCCAATGAATGTACAGCACTTCCATTAACGTTTGAAAGCAACACAGCCTTAACCTCGACGCTTTTGCTTTATGACATGGGGTATTGTGCCGTCGACTCAGTGTGCCCTCCCGACGTTCTTCATCATTCCCAACTGTGCAGCCTTCCAAGCCCGCGCACGAGTGTGAAGGTTGTTTGTTTCCTTTCTATTCCTATGAAGGTTTTGTACATTCCGCCTTTGCAGATCTGTCTCATACATTCTGCGTATAGAACACTGGTCTTGTGCTCTTTGTCATCAATGATATAACCTCCTCACATGTTCTTTCTATGAATCGAAATGCTGACTGCCTATTTAAACGGAAGATGGACACTGTGCATCGGTGTGTTTGTATGTTCACAGCTACATACGTACCACAGTATTTTGGATGCTTTAGTCTAATAAAACTTTAAATTAATTCTGTCTTGAAACATAGGGGAAACGAGGTTCGCGTGTATAGCGTTACCATGCACAGAAATCTCAAATCGTTATAATAAAGCTTGTTTTCTCCACTTTCAGACTGAATATTCATTTAACAGATTGTTCCCTGTGTGGCGGGGGATGGGGACTGTCCTGTGCCGTGCAGAAGGCAGCAACACCTTGACTAAACTGTTGGGCTAGAGAAAAAGAAAAAGCTGACCACCGTTATTGTCGGTTGTGTTGCCGACTACCTAGTAGTATCTGGGGTATGTGTATGAAATTGGAGCTGGGGAAATCCTGACCCGATGGGCAGTGCATTTACTTAGAACGGCTGTCTTTATCATCTTCAAAGGATTTTAAGATAAGATGGCCTTTTCCTGGTCATGGCAGACACTACTATGGGTCAGTGACTCTAGAAGAACTTCACTACAAGTATTATTTCTTGGAACCAGGAATTTATTTACACAGAGTTCATCATAGTAAGCGTCTGTGTATTCTATCAAGCTCCGGGGTATACACTTCTAACCACAGAACCATCTAGAGTACACTGAACAAGCCTCGGGGAGCTTCACAGTAAGTGCACATGCCTAATCTTCTCAAAGAAGCTTTTTCCCACAGTCCTCAAATTCAAGAAAACACTTCGGGGCTGGAGAGATGGCTCAGAGGTTAAGAGCATTGCCTGCTCTTCCAAAGGTCCTGAGTTCAATTCCCAGCAACCACATGGTGGCTCACAACCATCTGTAATGAGATCTGGTGCCCTCTTCTGGCCTGCAGGCATACACACAGACAGAATATTGTATACATAATAAATTTTAAAAAAGAAAGAAAACACTTCTCAAACGATGCCTCTGTGTGCAACGTCCAAGTTATCATATTCGTTTTCTATTTCAGAACAGATTGGAACTCGGAAAGAGATGGCCAAAGTTAGTCTTAAAGAGAGAGAAAGCAACAGAAATTAGAATAGGGGCCCAAACTGACATCCCTGGCTGCTGATTATGTAACAATATTTATTTTATTAATCTCCATCTCTGTTCTTCACTTTTTTATTATTGCTCTTTTGGTTATTTTGAGGCAAGGTCGTCTATATTGCTCTGGCTGGTCTGGAATTCATCCTGTAGATCAGGCTGGCTTCGAGCTTGCACTGGGACTCCTGCATCTCAGCTGTTACTTTTCCTCTCCTCCAAGCAGGTACCACGGCCATCAAGGGCTCTTTGGTGTCTCTCAGACTTAGAGAGAAGCACCTCCCATCATCCGGTACCTCAGTCTGTTCACTTGGACCGCATCTCACATGAAGGCAGCTGCATCCCTTCCCAGAACAGCAGGATACCCTTAAAGCTGTGGTTTCTCCTGGCGGAAGTGAGACCGGCAGGACAGGTAGACAGGCGTTCAGTCTTTGACCACCGTACCATCCTTATGCTTCACTGTAGTCTAAGCACGCACAGCATGCTAGAGTTCCCAAAGTGGAAGGGCTACAAAGCTGAGCAACAGAACCTGTGCCACTCAGGAGCTCACAGGTGATGAAACAGACCTAGACTTAGTAGGTTACACTTACACGCTAGCAAGTATGCTGTGACCAACAGAATACCCAGGTACTGTTCTAGTTGCTAGGGAATAACAAAAGCCCTGGATTCACTCCAGCAATTAAGGCAACAACTCCCTAGTCTACGGGCTTTGAGACAAGTGAATAGAGTGTCAGCAACATCATTTGTGGGGCCTGGTGTGACATGAAAATGCAGGGCTCCTTGTTCATGGAAAGGGGTCTGGAGACACAGCTTGGTCAAGGGCTTGCTTTGCAGGTGTGAAGACCTAAGTCCCGTCCCCAGAACCTACGTGAAATGCTCGGCATAGTGGTGTGTGTGTGTATCATCCCCGCACTGGGGAAGGGGAGACACCAGACCCTGGGGCTTGCTGCTCGGCCACCCTAGCCTACTTGTCCAGATGTTAGAGCAAGAGAGCTACGCGTACCAGACTTCTAGTGTCACGGGGGCCCTAGCACTCCATGCCTCTGCTAGCATGGTGACATCCCAACAACACTAGCGGCTGATGGTTATGAGCCAGCCGTCACAGCCAGGTGACATCCAGGGGACACCAGGTATCACCAGAGCAAGTCTGTGGACATGCTAGCCATCACAGAATAATTGGGGACAGAGATGAGAGCAGTCTATGCAAGGCACAAGGGCACTACTGAGAAATGAAAGGAGTTATCACTTGGCCTGAAGACTGGTTGGGGATGGAGTGCTGGGTTCTAGCCTCCTAGTTAGCTGGGAAGGTTTCCATATTTGATGAGACAGTGCCTCTTAGATAAAAACTCTTGTTTTCAAATCAGTTAATTCTACGTTTCCCTCCCATGGCATACCAGACCCACAACCTGAATCCAAAGGTGGGGGAGAAATTTTCCAGCTCATTTATAAGGATTTGTATTTTAAGTACTCAGGAATGACTTGGGTCCTTTTAAAGCATGGATTTAAAAGGTACGCATGAAGAAGTCAGAAGCAAACTGCCTGCCTTCCAGAGACAAGGATCCCCTGCTGCCCTGCTCTGCTGAGCACCCAGATTGTCTTGTCTGCTTCCAGAAGTTCACACAACTCTGGGGACCTTAACGCAGCCCATTTCAGTCCTTTGCTGGTCTGCTTGCCATACAGCATAAGTTCTAATTAATTGCCATTTTGCTCAAATATTTGGTGACTCTGTCCTTCGAAGTCTGTCTTTAAAATGCATACATTATGTGTACAGAAGAGCAAACCACCAAACGCAACAAACACCTGGAAGACTTCCCTACTAAGACTGTACACAGATTTCAGTTCTACTTGAGAGGAAAGGACCAAAACTGCGTGTGTCTTTGTATATCGTTGTTACTTGATATCATAAAGCTGATTTTCACTAAGATAACAACAATGACAACAATAATAATAGTGACAGAAAGCACTTGCTGTCAGGAAGCCCTGACCTGGAATCCCAGGGTTGAAAAAAAAAATCTCAAAATAATAACTGAAATACAGAGCAAATCAACAGTCATAGGGGAGTGTTAGTAACGTCTGTGATGGAAGCTCCGTGCCTCATAACTGACAGGGTCACCTATGCCTGTTGTCACGGTGTGAATATGGCAAGTAGGTTTTGATGATTCATACTTACACTAACCTAGTTCTCCTTTGTAGGAGCTTTGGACGTTTTTGCTACTCACCTTTACTCCATCATATGGAACTATGATTTTAATGAAACTCGGGGAGACAGATTCACCAGTAGTTGCTACAAATAATTTAGAAAGCTCCCATTTACTCTCTGCTTAAGTTCTTACAACCAGTCATACTTAACTGGTTAGAACCAGAATACTTACGATTCACTCACAATACAGAATATCTGCACCACTGCGTATAAGATTTCTTCTAAGGCTAGGAGCGGTGGCACTCCGCTTCCATTCAAAGCCAGTTTGGTCTACAAAGTAAGTTCCAGGGCACCCAGGAATACACAGAGAAATCCTGTCTCGAAAAGTAATAAAAAAAATTAAAGAAAGAATTTCTTTTATAAACGTACTCGTTTCCTGCAGACAAATCCCCATTTTTTTTTAAGCCCCAAAAACCCACTTAAAAGCGAAGACTCAAAGTTGCCTTTCACACAGAAAAACAAAAGTCACATTGAACACTTACGTGGCAAACAACTCTGCAACCCCTGAGGCAGGGGAAGGGCACCCCAGCCCCGGACTTTTCCATTCCGCGTTCATGCTCCCCAACCCAGCAGGTCCCTTTGGTCTCAGCGCTCCAGCCCATCTCAGGCTCCTCCTCTCCCAGCCCTGCCCATCACCCCAGGTCCCGCCCCCTTATCGCCCTGTCTATCATCCCAGGTTTCTCCTCTCCCCGCCTTCCCCATCATTCCAGGCCCCGCCCCTCACCGTCCTGTCCGTCATCCAAGGCCCCGCCCCTCACTGCCCTGTCCATCATCCCAGGCTCCTCCTCTCCCCGTCCTGCCCATCTTCCCAGGCCCCGCCCCGGCCCCGTTCCTCCCGCAGCCCTCGAGGGCAGCTAGGGGTCGTCGCGACCGCCCCGGTTCTTCCTCCGCCCTCCCCACCCCACGCGACTGTCGGCGCCAGAGTCAAACGGAGAGGCCGCGGTTTGCCGCGGTTTGCCGCGCTTTGCACCATGGTAAGAGCGAGCACCACGCGCGCACCTCCGAGCTTCGGGGAGGCGGCCGGCGGCGCGGTGGGATCCCGGCCAGGCCCCTCTCCTCCTGCAGCGCCCGAGCCTTGGCGGCGGCCTGCGCTACGCTCGGTCTGAACCGGAACGTTTCGGAACCAAAGCCCGAAGCCCGGCGAGTGGGGCAGGCCCGCGGCGCCTGTCCGAGAGCCCCACGCCGCCCGTGGGGCTGAGTTGACGCTGAAGTTTTCAGTGTCCTTTGGTTCGGCTGGGATTAGAACCCGGGGCCTCGTGCAGGCCGGGCACGGCGCTCCCCTTCATCCCGAGCGGCGGCCCGCGCAGCCCCCCGCCCCCGCCCCCGCCCCCGTTATCTTTCCGAACTTAATGACTTTCTGCCCATTGGATCATTTTCATCCACCTTCAAAGTTTCGCGCCATCCTTTCCGCTTCAGGCGACAGAGTATCAATGTGTCGTTAAAGGACCCGAGATTTTAATATCTTAATTTAGTTAAGTAGCCGTTACAAAGGGTGGACGAGGTTGTAGGGCATTTGTTTGAAGAAACTTGCCCAGCTGTGATTATAACTGATAACGGCTTCTTTGTGGTTGAACTAACAACCGGGCCACCTGGGCATAAAATGGCTCAAAACAACCGTGTTACCAGTACTTCGTGCTATCAAGTTTCGCTTTGTAGAATTAAAGTACCCGACTACAATGAACTATTTATTCATTATTGATGTGCCGGCCAACCCTCTTTATAGGGCCGTTGCCTACTGCCAAGGGATTTAATGGCTGTTAACTCTTCACATAGGTACTTGCTATTATTTTTTTATATATGATCAGGAAAAGAGTTCAGAGTTATTCTGTTCAAAGTTAAACTTTCGGCCTCTTTGCTAATCCTGGATTAATAACTATTTTGATTTGACTGGGCTTATTTTGTAAACAATATTAAGCGTAGGCCTACAGTTTGAAATTGGAGAAAAGTCAACCTTGAGAGTGACATGTCATCTTTTTAGCTTTCAAAATGTTATTACAAATGACCAACAGGGTTGATATTAGGAAGACTCTAGGTACAAGTCTCTAAAAAGTGCCTTGAAGCCCTTCGCTCAGATAGGAAGTGTCATAGACCTCGGGTGGCTCTGGGTCCCCTGAGTAATAGGAAGGCATCCCCGTTTTACCCACCCTCCTCCAGTTTTAAGTACTGAGCCCTTTTTATTTTTCTTGCGGAAGTCTCTAGTGTCAGTAGGGTGCTCTCTTTACATTAGGTACTTTAAATCCGACCTCAGTGGTTTCCAGATGTGGCTCGTAGTAACTTATAAAATAGAAAGAAATGAAACAGCCTGAAAGTCATGTAAACAATTCATCTGCCTTCCTGGAATGATTTTATATTTGTCGGGTAGTAAGAGCCTTGTAAGCTGTGTTCCTCAGAACATTCCTTCAGCTTCTCCTTGTTTGCCTCTGGGAATTGCAAAGGACTTCCCAGGAACTCTTTTTAAATAACAATATTTAAAAAGGAGGCTTGCTCCCAGATTTGGCTTCTTTTTTTTCTCCTGATGTAGCCACACAGTAAAGCCCTAATGTAGGGAGCTGTGGGAGACTTGAATGAGGGAAGTCCTGAGTGGATGTGTTGTTGGTAAACATGGCCACACCAAAGGCCCCATAGCCTCAGGCAGAGAGGATGGCAAAGTCTTCCCTGGGAGACCCAGAGCACGATTTGTCAGCATGTGTGGGGAATGTGCACTGTACTTTATTCCCTTCTGGTGTTTATGGCTTGAGGACTGCTCGCCCGCAGAGGCTGTTTCTTGGCTACCAAGATTAGCAAATCCTGCCTCCTTGTTCAGATGTGTGTAATAACCCTGTCCTCTTGTTTATCTGTATGTAATAACCCTCTGTATGCAGCCATCTGCCTCTCTGCTCAACTCTGTAAGGAACACATTGGGCTTCTGGAGTGCCATAGTTTCTCCACCAAGAGCCCAGAGCACCAATCCCAGCCTTCTGTTTGAGCATTCTTCTGTCTATCCTGTCTATATTTCATTCCCTTTCTGACCCAGTCAGGTCCATGTAATAGAGCCATGCACGGGTATCACACCCTAAGGAGATTGCCACTTCTCCACACAGCCCCTGCCAGCCCTGGGAGTCTAGTGAGACAAGCAAGTCGAAGCAACTGAGGATATTTTTTAAAGGCGCGTGCCTAGGCGCATCATCAGCATTGCAGCTCAGCTCATGCAGGGTAGCCTTTTGAAGTCCCTAAGATGAGCACATGTGTGGTGGTTTGATGCCCACTGGTATGGAAAGCTTACCTGGGTGTGAACTTCATGATGGCCTCAGATACTGCAAGAGAGCTGTGTGGAAGGGGTCATAAAACACCCCTGGGTTCTAACTAACAGCAGTTCTGCGTAGCTTCCTGGGGCTTGTCTGCCTCACTGAGAGTGCTCTGCTTTCTCTCTGCTAGCAAGGCGATGACCACCAGCTTCCTGATACTGACTACACCGTGGATTATATGTTTAGGAGTGCTGTGGGCTTCTGAGCTCGAGCACCTTGGAGTGGTAGGGTGGACGCTTTTACTGGCTGTGGTCCTGATGTTCAGGGCTGGCCGTATGTCTGCTCTGTCTGACTTGCCCGGCTTGCTAATCCCACAGAGGGCAACGGGCAGTAGATAGTCTGAATTTTCTCAGTCTGCTGAGAGAAACAGACTTCTCTCTTCAGTGCAGTCAGTGATGGGATGCAAGTGTGTCCTGGGAACACACGCTCGGCCTGTGAGGGCAGCGGAGGGAAGGTTTTCAGGAGAGAAGACCCACACTAGGCTTTGGGAGACCTGTTGCAGTATGGTGGGTGTTGGAGCGGAGATGTTTTATGTAGAGGGACATCTTTTTACAGGGCACAGAAATGATAGAATGCTTTCAGTAGAGAATTCTGGAAATAATTTATTATTATTATTATTAGTAGTAGTAGTAGTATTGTTATTATTATTATTATATTTCAAATTGCACAGTGTTTCATCTTGTTTTGGTAAATTGGGGTGGGGTGGGGAGTTACTCAAAGCAGTAGGTTGGGGTCAGGTGATTGCAGGTCTTCTATACCCTGTGAGGTGCTTGGATCCTTAGGAGGATTGGGACATTCACAAGGTTTGAAACAAGGGACTGTGTAGTCAGGTTTGTTTCTCCATTAGAGGACGAGGCCAAAGTGTGTTTAGGCAGTTGAGGACAGACTGCAGGAGATACTCAGTGAAGGCTTGAATCTAGACAGAAGCAGGCCAGGCAGGACATAATAGAGCAGTGGCTCTCAACTTGTGGGTCATGACTCCTTTGGGGGTCAAATGACCTTATCAGGGGTCGCCTAAGACCATTGGAAAACAGATTTTTACGTTACAATTCATAACAGTAGCAAAATTACAGTTATTAAGTAGGGAGGAAAATAATTTTATGGTTGAGATCACCACATGAGGAACTGTATTAAAGGTCTCAGATTAGGAAGGCTGAGAAGCACTGTGTTAGAGAGTATTTAAGAGCCAGTGTTGACAGAACTTGGTAGTTGGTAAAGAGATGAAGGCCCCTAGGATGCCTGCTGGGCCTTTGGCATAGGTAAAAAGTGTGTCTGAGACTCCAGGTTTGGGGTGTGTAGGAGAGGATGGGCTCATTTGGACCACTGGAGTTTGAAGTCTGTCCAGCAGGCAGGTAGATACATGAGAGGGAAGTTCAGGAGTCGCCAGGGCCAGACCAGCATCTGTGGTCTCATCACAAGTGTTAATTAAAATTAAAGAAGATGAGATCAAAGGAGATTTGAGGAGAGGAAGGGCTCAGTGTGGATCCCTGGGGACTGCTGTGCTTCAGAAGAACAGAAGTACAAGAACTTGGAGGCTGCTTACGTCTACAAACATGCTCATCAAGACACACGACATAGTATTGCTGCTGTGGACACGAGTGAGTTCCTAGCTTTGCCAGAAGAAATACAGAATGGTATCCCAAGGTCCTTTTTTCGAGTGTTAGAGAATGATTCTTTCTGATGGGGTTTTTGGTTGGACAGAATCAATCTTTATCTTATTATATCTTAACAAGCAGCTTATTTTCCTGTATCTGTGTAGTAATTTCCTCCAAAGTTAAAACTTCCCATCTTGGAGAAACTCTTTAAGACATTGAATGTGGAAAGGGAGGTAAAACAGGGGGTTTTAGGGCAGGATATTCACATGGCGGTGAAGCAGCAGTGTGGTCTAAGGCAGCAATTCTCAGCCTGTGGGTCACAACCCTTGGGGGACCAAACCACCCTTCATAGGGGCTGCATGTCAGATATCCTACATATCAGATATTTACATTGCAATTCATAACAGTGGAAAAATTACAATTATGAAATAACAATGAATCATTTTATGGTTGGGGTCACAACAATAGGAGGAACTGTTAAAGGGTCACAGCACTGGGAAGATTGAGAACCAGTGCTCTAAGGGGAGGTGCATCTGCTGCCATGACAGATGTAATGGATCATCCCGAAATACCCCAGCAGTATATAGATCATTCGATGAGGTAACTTCTTTCTGTGTGGACAACTGGATGACCTCTGCCACATCGTGGGGCTCTGGTGTGAAAGCTTTGCTCCGCCAAACCTTTATTCTCCTAGTCAAATCTACATAAAGCTAGAGCCCCACAATTATCCTTATTAACAGGAAAGGAGCCCTGAGCTGAGAAACAGTGTGTCTGCTGTCTGCTCTTATTGATAAACAGGTCTGGATGACTCTGGATTCTCTAATAGCGAACTCAGAAGAATATAACCTACTGGCCTCTGCTCTACCCTAACAAGCTATTAATAGTCTGTGTTTTTCTTCACCTTTCATCTGATACAAGGTCTTCTTAATCTAGGAAATTAACTGTTTGTACCTTTACCCCTAAAATATACAGGAAAAAAGCTTGGGTTGCTAAACCAGCCCCAGAGAAAGAAATTCCTTCTCACCTGGGTGCCAGCAGATACAGCACCAGGATGCTTAGCCTGGGAGCCAAGCTCCATCCTAATCCTCTGGGTGTCACTGGGGAGCTCCATAGCCACGCCCCTTCTGAGAGTAAGGCACCTGCCTTGTCAGTCTTTTATCCACCCTGTTAGCCCTAAGAAATGCAAGCTTGGTATCATTGTTATTTCCCAGAGAGTTGTTAACTACGTGGGATATAAACTGGAACCTTGGGGATGGGTAGGACAGCGAGGAACATTGAGGGTCATAGAAAGGGGAACATCAAGGGAGCATTAGAGAGAGCACAGAGAGAATAAATGGGACTTGATAAAAAGACTTCTGTGAGCTGATTTGTTTACCCTCAGACCTTATTGTCAGGTTTCACCTACTGTAGCAATCCTTCTGAATCCTGAGAGGTTTAGTGGGGCTTAACCCCAACATAATCCTCGATGTGAAACACTTCTGTTGGAAAGCTCATTAAATTAAGACAGGAAATAAACAACTCAAAATAGCTTCAGAAAGTCCCTGGAAACGTCTTAGGCTGGGCACTCCCATAGAATATATATTGTAGTGCAAATTCTAATTGGTCTTAATAATAAAAACCAGGATCAGATATTAGGGGGTGGAAGCCGAAAGACTAGCTCTTATGTCTACAGAATCCTCAGACTGAATGAGCTATCCTGTCTCACAAGTCCTCAGACACTTGTTTCTGGTTACCAAGGAAACACAACGTGATCCTGTGCAGTTTTTGAGGATGAAGAACACTTAAATTTAGGGCCGGTGAGATGGTGCATTGGTAACAGTGCTGGTTGCTAAGCCTGACCACCTGAGTTCCATCCCTGGAGCCGCATAGAGGAAGGAGACCAACTTCATTTTCTTCTGACCGCTATACATGGTCCATAGCACCTCACTCCCAAATAAACAACAAATAAACCCCAAATGACAATGTTTCTCATATTGTTTTTATTTTTCTTGCAATTTTTTGCATTAAAGAAATTTGGCTCCTCTTTTTGTTTAATTTGAATGTAAGTTAATATGCACTGTGTATAATATACATAAGAATTAGGTATTTCAGTTACATACTGATCATCTTGTTTTCAAATGTGGTAGATTTATAGGGATTACAGGCTTCCGTTTTCTATGTGGATAGGATTTTCTTACAGCCTGCACACGGCTGCCACTATTCATTTTCTTTCAGTTAAAATATTGAAAAAATGTATGCGAATGGGTGTTCTGCCTGTCTGTATGTCTGTACACCGTGTGTGTGCCTAGGGCCCAGGGAGGCCAGAAGAGGGGGACAGATGTCCTAGGACTGGAGTTGCAGGGCCAGCGCATGACTGCTGGGGATTGGACCGTGTCCTCTGGTTTGTAACCGCCGCTCTCTAGCCCCTGCTACTGTGTCTCACATTCCAGCTCAGCTCTAATCCTGTCACCCTGTTAGCCCTAAGAAATGCAAGCTTGGTATCATTGTTATTTCCCAGAGAGTTGTTAACTATGTGGGATATAAACTGGAACCTTGTCTCTGGCAATCTACGCTGGACGCCTTTTGAATTCTATCGTCCTTTTCTCCCCTCTCACAGTCTGTGCAGTACATGTCTCAGTGCTTAACTTCAGTGCTTGACTTCGTGTCCCTCACACTGCCCGTGGGGTCTGCACAATGCCCCGTCCCACTTCTCAGCTTACCAGATCCCCAGGTGGGACTAATCGATTCCTTCCCGGTATTTATGCAACAATCTGTGTGTGTAGCTGTTAATTGGTTATAAGGGACTGTCTATTTCTTTTGAAAGTTGATACAGTGGCTTCTCATTGGTTCATTTTGTAAATGCCAAACTTCTTTAAAGGGTACAGTGACACACACCTTTAATCCCAGCACTGGGAAGCAGAGTGGGTAGCTTGCTGAGGTCAAGGCCAGCCCCGGCTATTCTGAGGACAGCAGGGCTACACAGAGAAACCCTGTCTCAAAAAAAGCAGAAACTAAAACAAAGTAGAATTTCCACAAAATATTGTTGCTGTCGCTGTGTGTGTAGGGAAGAGCAGCCCAGACTTAAAGAGCTGGTGGAAGCCGGTAGGCCAGGCTTGGAAAGTGAAAGCCTGTGGATAGTAGAAAAAATCACATAACTTTTAAGATAACATTTAATGCCAAATTGTTGTAAAATGAGGTTTTGAAATGGTGACTTTTGTTGATTTGTGTTTTATGCTTCAGTCAAAGAAGAAAGGACTAAGTGCGGAAGAAAAAAGGACCCGAATGATGGAGCTATTTTTTGAGACGGTCAGTCATCCCCTAATGTTGTTAGTGTTCTGTGTAATTTTTACAGTAAATGTATTTTTGCAGTATGCTGTATGCTTTTCTGTGATGTAGCTCAGTGTCTCATTTTGTTAGACACCCGTACTGCTGTGGTTCTTACGGGGCAGATAGAATTTTCCAGTGTTTTCGGCTCTTCTGAGCTGTGGATCCTAAACGCCCTGTAGACTGGAATTCTCTCTCTGAGTTATGTATTGATTATGGCCTCCTTTCCTGAAATGCTCACCGTATTTCCCGAGTGCTGCCTGGGTGCTGGCCATCCCCAGGCTTTAGTGCAGGTTTTCCAACTTCAGCAGCAGACGTGGTCTCCATCCAATTGATGTGCTTTTTCAGTTTACTTAGAAAGCAACGGCTCTCCACCCCGCCAGTCACGGTGCCTCTTCCCAGCTGCTGGTACATTAGTCTCCCCAGACGGTGTCACTCTGCTGTCCTGGTACCAGTCACCACTGAGAAAAGGGGCGGTCAGCAAAGACTGTCCCCAGCCGCCAGATTAAATAAATACTCTGAATGTGTATTTTCCCTGTAATGCTGTATGTGTACGTGTGTGCGTGTGTGTGTGTGTGTGTGTGTGCACGTGAGTGATTGAGACACTCAGGAGCGGGACAGCTTTCTGTCACGTAGAGTTGGCTGCTTCATAAAACCTTAGATAAAAACCAACTTTGACAGTTGTCTGTAACTTTTAGTTACAACTGGTAAATCACTGGAGCATGAGACATACCAAGTAAAGCACTTTTCCCTCTGTTTTCGTTGGTCTCTTTCCCTCCCTCATTTCCCCTCTCCCTACCCTCCCTTCTTACTTCCCTCCATCCCTTCCTTCCTTCTTTCCTTTTTAAGGTATGACCTTTTTATATTGCCCAGGCTGGCCTCAAAATTCTGCTCCAAAGCAATCCTCCCATCACTGAGCCTGTTTTGTTCCCCTTTTCTTTTCTTTTTTCTTTTCTTTTCTTTTCTTTCTTCTTTCCTCTCTGTCTCTTTCTTTCCTTCCTTTCTTTTTCTCTTTCTTTCCTTCTCTTTTCTTTTCTTTTTTTTTTTTAAAGATTTGTTATTTTAAAATTTTTTATGTGCGTGAGTGTTGGCCTGAAAGTATGTATGTGTACCATATGTGTGCTTGGTGCCCACAGAGGTCAAAAGGGGGCACCAGATCTCCTGAAGGAGATTAGGAACTCCTTCCTTAGGAACTCATGAAGGAATTAGGAACTGAACTAGGGTCCTCTGCAAGAGAAGCTTTTAACCACAGAGCCTTCTCTCCTGCTCGATATTTATTGGTTTTCTTAATATCAGAGCATCAGAGCAGCTCGTTATCTGATGTCACAGATTGGCTTCCAGGGTTAGTCTTCCTGCTTCAGTGAGAAGCTGGCTCTGCCGTTGTTGTCCAGCCCTGCACGGACGTCTGTGTTCCTGTGGAAGTGTGTCCATCTTAATTCTGTGGGACACTGAATGAGTGTTCATTTGTAGACATGTCTTTTTGATGCTGTGTTTTATGAACATGGTTATGGTAAGCACAGATAAACAGAAGAAAATAATTATGTGTTTTTCATCTTTTTAAACCCTCTTAACTAGAAAGATGTATTCCAACTAAAAGACCTGGAGAAGATCGCTCCCAAAGAGAAAGGCATCAGTAAGTATTAAAGAGATGGTGGGTGATGGGGACTTGGGGAACCCAGGACTTAGTCTTTTCCGCCATGGTATTTCCCTTTATTGTCAGTGCAAAAATCTAGATGTGAGTATATTTGTAAAAGCCCCATATGATACTTCTTGGCCATCAGTCAGTTCCTGTGTTTGGACCTTCTGCCCTAGAACAATTAAAAGGGGAACACATGTACATTTATTCATCTACACTTATTTTATAGTTTATTTCAAAATAAAGAAAGATTGTTTCACCTATTTTGTAGTATTTGTCAAATGTGATTTGGTATCTTTACATAGTATATCAGTTTCATGAGGCTGTATCAAGAGTTTACTGTGACTATGAAAACTTAAACTTCCTTTCTCTCAGCTCTAGAGGCAGGAAGTTGACATGAAAAGTATAGGAAGGGGGGGCTGGAGAGGTGGCCCAGTGGTTAAGAGCACTGACTGCTCTTCCAGAGGTCCTGAGTTCAATTCCCAGCAACCACATGGTGGCTCACAACTATCTGTAATGAGATCTGGTGCCCTCTTCTGGTGTGCAGGCATACATGCAGGCAGAACACTGTATACATAATAAATATATAAGTAAATCTTAAAAAAAAAAAAAGAAAGAAAGAAAGTACAGGCAGGGTTGGTTCCCTCGGAGACTGAAGTACAGGATCCTTGATTTTAGTGGTGTTCGTGTGCTAGTCAGATTTCCATTGCTGTGGCAGAATACCTGGCAGACAGCTTCAGAGGAGACAGGTAGAGCGGAGCAGCTCCCCTTGCCGAGCTGAGGAAGAAAGACTGTCCTTTTTCTGTTCTAAGAAACTTTAGAACTGTGAGCATTTGCACATTTTGCACTTTTGTCAGTATATATGTAAGGACCTGTCATTCTGAGAGGAAACCATCTGCATATGCAGTTTTGTGTTTATAGCTATTGTGTGTGTTGGGGGAGTGGGTATGCAGGGGATTGACCCAGGGCCTCACCGTTTTCGGGCTAGTACTCCGCCGCTGAGCTGATCTTACCTGTGTATCTTCTTTATACAGCATATCACCTGCACATGACCAATTCCAGCCTGGGACCACCCATCAGACTTGCTTAGCCAGTCACCTATTGTTGACCATCTAGGTAGTCTATGAGTACTGCTACTACAATACTGTCTAAATAGCAGTCTCTCTGCTCTGAGCTGAACTGTGTTCTCCCCAGTTCATATGTGGCCTCTCTCTTTCCAACCCTTTACCAGGGCCTTAAAGGCTGAGTGAGTGATACACGTATGTAGTCCCAACACTCGGAAAGCATGAGTTTGAGTTAGCTTGAGCTCCACGGTGAGAGACTGTCACAGTCACCATGTGGAAACAAATGGCTATGTGAGGTTTTAATAATGGGGCGCTGATTTTAAGACGGGGGAGGGGAGGAGAGAGAGAGATCTTTGTGTATGTCTCCAGAGGAAAAGCCACCCATAACAAGAACACAGGCTGTCCACACAGCAGGCAGAGATCCTCAACAGTAACTGAATTGGGTGCTGTCTTGCCATGGTTGCTGAAACTATGCAGCTGAACACAGGGCCTCAGCCTTCTCAAGCCAGCGCTTCCTGGCACTGTCTTAACCACTGGGTAAGCCTGTCTGTGGGGCTTGGTTATGGAACCCAAGCAAAGGAAAGCTCTGTTGGTGCGTTTCCCTTCCCTCTCCTGGCGCGTAGTCAGACTATGTCTGCAGAGGCAGAGCAGAGACAAAGGCTCACGCAGCTCTCAAGCTTCAGCCGTCTTCTTAAGTCGCTCTCAGGAAAGGCTTGGCCAGCTCACGCTCACTTTCCATGTCTTCTCAGAGTTGGGTCGGACCCAGGGCTCTGCCTGCTAGGCAGTGCTCTGTCGCGGAGCCTCATGGCCGACTCTTTTATCTTTAGAATCCTTTGAATTTCATTTCAGGTTGGACTTTATGAGTAGAGTTGAATGCTCTGCACATTTGGTGTCAATTTTATTTAATAGTTCTTTAAATCTTAAATAAGTTTTATAGCTAGAGATCTGCTCTAGGGAAAACTTAAATATTAAAATGGGGATATGGCTTTTGGTATATAGAAAGTAAGCATTATTAATAGATTCTGACGTTAAGTCTTAGCTGTAACTATTGGCACTAATTTGTGTATTGTTTGAGTTGTCACAACTTTTAGTTTCCTTAGCTGAAGGCAATACACGTTTATTTTTGGGGAGAAATAAATAAGAAAGTAAAATTCGTCCGCTATGCGCCATCTGAACACTGATCACATTAATACATACTCTTTTCACTTCTCTGTAGTGTGCATTCTGTATGTGCAACATGTGTCTATCCATATCGTTAGCTTTGCTGTATAGCACTGCATTCTGTATGTGCAACATGTGTCTATCCATATCGTTAGCTTTGCTGTATAGCACTGCATTGTGTTTTCAGAAAGCCAATTATTGGGCTAGTTTCCAGTGTCCTTTGCTGATGTTAAAAATGCTTTGACAAACATGTATGTCCATCTTTGTGCTGTGTGACTGAATGACAGACATGTATGTATGTCTTTCTTCTGTGTGGCTGAGTGACAAACATGTATGTATGTTTTTCTTCTGTGTGACTGAGTGACAGACATGTATATCCATCTTTCTGCTGTGTGACTGAGTGACAAACATGTATATCCATCTTTCTCTTGTGTGGCTGAGTGACAAACATGTATGTTCATCTTTCTGCTGTGTGGCTGAGTGACAAACATGTATGTTCATCTTTCTGCTGTGTGACTGAGTTTAAAAAAGCGAAATGTCTTCAGAAAGGAAAGCCACGTGCCTAAGGTTTAGATACATGCTTCCATATGTCACACCCGTGAAAAGATCTTTGGGTCCTTTCTTCTGTCTTGACTGTTTTTAATTTGGTAGTCCAGGAGGCATGCTGTTTGTTCTAGTTTGTCTTCAGTTTAGAGTAGAGTTAGAAAGGCTGGGGCAGGCTTAGCCATAGAGTACTTATCTCCTGTTCAAAGCTCTACTCTCAAACTATAGTACTAAAAAAAAAAAAAAAATAGAATGGAGTTGTAGTTGAAATCTTGAGCATGATTATTTATAGAACACTTTTGTTTTTAAATTAGCATACCAAGTAACAATTTCCTTCTGGCATTGCAGCGTGTTCTCCAGTTTGGTTCCTAGGATTGTCCGCGCCCGCTGTGTGCCCTAGTCCTGCTTGCACCTTCGTTCCTACGGTTTCTTTTTCCTTCTCTCGTGGGCTCCATTCTGATTCCATAACCTCCACCCACGCTTGCTCTTGCATAAGCACACAAGATCTGCATATAAGAAAGGATATGCGGCTGGGCAATGGTGGTGCACACCTCTAATCCCAGCACTTGGCAGGCAGATCTCTGTGAGTTCAAGGCCAGCCTGGTCTACGGAGCTAGTTCCAGGACAGTCAGCACTGTTTTACAGAGAAATCCTGTTTTGAAAAATGAAAGGAAGGAAGGAAGGACGGACGGACGGACATGCGATGTTTGCCTTTGAGAGCCTGGTCGCCTCACTTTTATGCACATATAGATGCCTGTTGAAAAGCTCTAATCTTTCTTTTTTAGCTCTTAACTGTGATGTGCTCTGCAAATGTCTCTCCATTACCTCCTGTTGAATTATCTGTGACGCTGCTTACCATGGAGTCTGTAAACGTTTCCCCGCAGCTGCCATGTCAGTCAAGGACGTCCTTCAGAGCCTGGTGGACGACGGCCTGGTGGACTGCGAGAGGATCGGGACGTCCAATTACTACTGGGCCTTTCCAAGCAAAGCTCTTCATGCCAGGACACGCAAGCTGGAGGCTCTGAACTCCCAGGTAAGGAGGGCTCTGCAGCCCTGGAGAGACGTGCTTGGTAGCGACCTGCCTTCCCAGCACCGTTCTCCTTCAGTGCTTTCTCTTAAACTCAGTGCTTCCCTAGCTTGCACAAGGCCCTGGGTTTCATTCCCAAACACCTCAAACATAACAAACATAAAATGACCTTAGAATGCTTCATCTTTTATTTTTCTACATTATTATATGGTTAGTATTACTATAGTAAATAGTATATAAACTAGTATTTTAGTTCTTTTTAAAAAAAAGTCAATAGATTCTGGGAGGGCAGTTTTAGATCATACAAAGATTAGAAATTTATCTCTCTGTAGCATCCAGAAAAGGGGAGAATTTCCCCTTGCCTATCCGAGGGTGAGTGTTAGAGGGGTCAAGTACATGGGTGGAGACAGCCTGGGGCAGGGAAGATGGTTTCTGCTGTAGGAAGTGGAGCAGGGTCATGGTCAGTAGGCTCATGCCTTGATTTGAGGTACCTAGTGACTCGTACAAGTCACCAAGGTGGATTTTCACACGCAGTAAATGTGGGGAATAAAGTAGACCATGGACAGTCAAGTCAAAGTGATGCTGCACACACTGCAGAGAAACAGGGAGGGGGAGAGTTAATGTATTAAATGTGCTATTAAGAAGTTAATTTTGTTAAAAGTATTATTACTTAAAAATCTCTCTCTCTCTCTGCATATATATGAGGTTAAAGACTTGTTCCAAACAGAGACAGAGCCCAAGTGAGACTCTTGGTCCTCGAAGGCATCTTGAGGTACCCTGCCAGCCTTGGACCACTCTACCTCTGGGCTCCACGTTACTCGAGGAGATTCAGACTTTATGAAATTCTGCCTTTCTTAATTATTCTGTTGCTTGTGGTTGAATATACCCTAAATACATTGCATTGCAGTCTTTCATAAATGTGGGTTAGATCTTCTGTTACGTTTTACTAGGTGCACAACAGTGTAACCTCAGACAGTGTAGCTCCAAGGAGCAAACCCCGATGTATGTCTGAAAACTAGGCCTGGTTTGAGTGGGTACCTCTGGCTCAAAATCTTTGAGGCTGTAGTAACACTGATGCATCCAGGGCTGTAAGTGTTTTGCCAGGATAGGAGGACCAAGGAATGCTGCAAAGATCACACCATGTAACAGATCTCACACGAGAGATTTTCTTTTGGGGGTGGGAGGGGAGGGGTGTACGGTGGTGACGTGTGAAAGGCGGCCTGTGAGTGGGGAGAGAACAAGAGTAGGGGGTGATGATGGGCTTTATGGGGTGGGCTGTGGAGCATGTGCAGTGGTGACCAGAAGTGTGATCCTTGTCCTTGGAGCCTGGTTCTGGAGCATGGGCGGTTCCTATCTGAACACCCGCCTGGAGACTACAGCTCAGTCCTCCAGTCACTGGACTTGCACTTTCTCAGCTCTTGGGCTGAGGTCCTCACATCTTTAACTTTTTGCGAGAGGTTTCCCTCAGCTCCCTACCTGTGGGTCTTTCCAGAGTCCACTTGCCACAGTCATGTCTAGACTATTACCTAATGAATGTAAATTCTATGTAGACAATTTTGTTTATGGAATGATGACAAAAGCTTAAAATTCTGTGCATCTTCAGCACAGATGAATTTTCTTGTGAGCGTTTTCAAGCCCCAGCTGGTTGAATCAGTGTTTGTGAAACCCCTGGACATAGGGGCCAAGTAGAAAGACATTTTTTTTTTTTTTTGGCCAAGATTTGCTTAGTACTTTCTACTTCTTTATATTTGTTTTTGTATTTTCTGTTCAATGTGTTTCTTGTAAGGATATATTGGGTTTTGCATTTTTATGTAAACTAACAATTTTTGCCTATTAAGTTAGTGTGTTAGACAATTTATATTTAGTGTTAGAATCAGTGTTACTAAATTTGCTGTGATAATTGATTTTCGTTGCTTGAGAATAAGCATTGTGTTTTCTTCATTCAGCAAATAACGTATTGAGCCTGTGAGCACACACTGTGGGTGGTCAGTCCTGTCTGAACTGGGCACAGTGGTACTTACTGCACATTTCTTGGCCAATGGTGTAAGGCAGAAACTCATTATCTTAACAAGGCCAAAAGACTTCTCATAGTTCATTAAGTAACTAAGGGTGGGTACGTGGGCAATCTTAGTAGAAGTAACCAAGAATGTCTTGCTGGTAGCTTGAACGTAAGTTTTTCAAAACTGAGGGTAATTGATGTGCAGACTGAATGATTGAAGAATAGGGAGTTCTTATTCCCACTGCTCTGGTTTTCTTGGAACTCCATGTGATTAAGAGATTGACAACATCAGCCACATTTACCAAATCATCCTATAAATCAGCTGCTATCAATTCACTCCTGGCCTGCTGGTCTGAGAGTTGATGTTGAGTGTAGTTTTGAGTACACCTTCTCTTTAGTTCTTAGATGTCGTAGGTCAAAACTTAACCTGACACAGCTCTGTGAATCAGAAGTGAGGGCATGCTGACATGTATGCAGTAGGTCCTGTGTGAATCGGAAGTGAGGGCATGCTGACATGTATGCAGTAGGTCCTGTGTGAATCAGAAGTGAGGGCATGCTGACATATATGCAGTAGGTCCTGTGTGAATAGGTAGTTAGGGCATGCTAACATGTATGCAGTATGTCCTGTGCCTCCTTCTCTAAAAGTCCGAACAAGGGTTTGTTTTTGATTTTTGTTTTTTGTTTGTTTTTGTTTTTCTTGAGCAGTTGGAGAAGTTTGCAAGCTTTTTAGAGACTTGCTTTCCCAGTTCACAAAAGAGGTTGCTCAACTTTTCTGCGTTGTGGTGAAGATGAAGGGTGAGGTTCCTGGTACTCTAGCATTTCTGCATGTGGTGGCCACACATTCAGATAAATGGTGGTTCACCCAGAGTGTAGACTGTGAACTTCCTTACTCACAGAGCAAGTAATTGAGGACTTGCATTTTACTGAAGGTGATTCGAAAAGTAGAAGTCAGTGTTCTTGCTTTAAAAGACCTGTGCTGGAAGTGATTTCCCTGCAGGGAAGCGTAGTGAGTGAGGAGCCCTGCTAGTACTAAGGGTTCCCACAGACACAGGGCCGGGCGCTGCTGGCGGGCACTGCTGGCGGGCCGTGCTCAGGCTGCAGTTCTACTGATTGCCAAAGTAGAATGTCAACTTCCTTTGAGCTTCTTGTTAATGATTTCCAGATTGGCTTGGGGCTGTGGGGTGGGGCAACTCTTCATTTCCTTTCTTTTAATGTCATTTCTTTTCTGCTGGTGACTCCAATTACGTGCAGGAACATGTTGTCTCTCGAGGACAGACATTCTTGTAGTAAAATTGAAAATTAAATCAGGAAATATGTATTTTCTTCTTTGCCTTTTGGTTGTATGTGTTGATCATCATTGAAGATAGTCTGAAGGACTCATGGTTATAATTTGTTTTAACTTCAACATTTTGTAAGATGACACAGTCAGCCGTGTGTGGTATATGTCAACCTCTATAGATTTACCGTGTGCCGCTGTGGCCGTGCACTGTTGTGCATTCTCCGAATAGAAAGTAAGTGGTCTATGCCTAGAGAATTCGTAGTTTCCTTGATCAAGTGTAGTTATCTAACTTACTTGGAAATGATTAACAAGAAACTATAAAAAGTTACCTGTATGATGCTTAGTATGGTAAGCTTTGTTGTGAATTCTGTTCTACAGCTTAGAACAAAGGCAAGGTTCCTAAATTTTTCTTTAAATTATATCCATTTATTTGTTTGCTTGTTTATTTATGTATTTGTATATGCAGTGGTGTGTGTGTGTGTGCCACAGTGCATGTATGGAAATGAGAGAACAGCCAAGGGGTCAGTTCTCCTTTCACCCAGTGACAGTGCTCAGGCTTGCTGGTCTTTCCCACTCAGCAACCTCACACCCAGTCAGGGCTTTTATAGGTATGTGTAGGTAACACAGCATATTTAGAACCTCTTCTTTTGAGCTGAAAGTAGGGTAGGTGTAGCACCAGTGGTTCCCAGCCCTCCTCATGCTGCAAGCCTTTCATACAGCTCCTCGTGTGGTTGTAGTGGTTTAAGGATGGAAGGTACCTTGGCGGGTTGGAGACAAGGGGCACCAGATGGAGCCAAAGGGCTCCACAAAGTCGTACCGTGTAACAGATTCCTTATGAGAGGTCTCTTAGGGGAAGGGGCAGAGGTGGCTTCTGAGTGGGAGCTGGGGAAGAAGGCGCTTGTTTTTTGTACAAGGCTATGGCGGATGTGCATAGGGAAAGTTCCTGACTCTGACGATGGTGTGTCCTGCTGTCGATCTGTCCCTGAATAAATGCTAACAGTGGTGACCTTCAGCCTTGAAATTATTTCATTACTACGTCGTAACTGTAATTTGCTAGTGCTATGAACTATAATATTTGATATGTTACCCCAAAGGGGTCTCGACCCACAGGTTGAGAACCACTGGCTTAGCTGCAGCTGGAGGTGTGTGGAGAGGAGCTGAGGATGTGTCCACCACTCTGGCTCAGTTCAGAGCTCCCTGGGATTCTCACACCTGTATGAGGCATCAGTGTTGTTTTTAACTATGGTTTACAGATGAGGAAGCTGAGGGGCCACTGTTGAATAACTTACCCAGTGACAGTGTTGGGCGATGGCAAAGGAAGATCTGATTCTATGCATTTTGACTATCTGGCCATGCTGTTAATCAGGAGAAGACTAAAGCTGATACTCTATAGACCTTCAGCTGGTAGTCGATGACAAGCTTAGGAAGAAGAGATTCAGACTTTTCGTTATGTGGTCACATAAAGTTAGAAGTACATTGAGGGCCAGGCAGTGGTAGTGCACACCTTTAATCCCAGCACTTGGGAGACAGAGGCAGATGGATCTCTGTGAGTTTGAGGCCAACCTGGGCTACAAGAGCTAGTTCCAGGACAGGCTCCAAAGCTACAGAGAAACCCTATCTCAACCCGCCCCCCCCAAAGAAGTATATTGAGGTTATATTATGGGACGTCTTAGTGTTTGGTTAGGTTTTGTCATGTATTCCAATTAGAGGAAACTGAAATTTTCCTGC